TAGTCTTGCCGCTAAAGGCGGGGGTCTAGAACGGCATCCAAATGCTGGACCCCGAAGGATGAAGGCTGCAAGCCTTCTCCCGCATGTGCGTAATAATCTGCACGGTTACGACGGTCTTCTTGCGCAACCTGCATCGGCACTTCAGTCTGGCAATGCTGGGGCTGCAAGCGCTGTGCAGTTCTTTTTGCCGTAGGCACGAAACAAACTACAGCGGTCAGCAGCCCGCCGACTCAGAATAACGAGTCCCGCGCTTATGGAGCTCCTCGTTCCTTTCCTCTATCTTCTCCTGTGAGGCGGAATCTTCAACAATCCACATCCGAATGCCATGCCATAGGTCAAAACCATGGCTCTGAAACCCTGTTTGCGATGCTGAGCCGCGCACGTTGAGCTGCTGGTTTTCAATTTTCAGCTGCTCGAAATCTATGACATGCAGATTTTCTGCAAGCCTCGGCTGAGCACAACAAGACTCTTAAGCACCTGCTTTCAGGTTCTGCGTACGCCAGGGTCACCCTGTCTCTTGCGCATGAGTTATGTATGCTGCAGTCCTGCGCCTCAACAACAACCAACACCAACACCAACACCAACACCAACACCGTCACCACCAACACCTGCTGCTGCTGCTGCTACTACGACGTCGACTGATTCTGCTACTGCAACTTCGGCTACTACTACTGCTACTACTTGTGCTTTCTCCAAGCGGCTCATCTTTGTTTCGCAGAGCTTGCTCGAGCTTTGCAAGGCGATTCCTGGCGCATGACTTTGTCAGGTCAATGAGCAAAGACCCATCTTGCGTTTTACATGGCGACATGAAGTCTCGGACAGCAAAGCTCTAGCTGGACTAGCCTCTTCAGATTTCACTACATAGCCACGTTCTTCTGAAATTTGCAAAGGGAGTCGATTGCGGTATGGCCTGACTGATTTATGGCTTGAGCCAGTGCAAGCTTCCATCTGCATGTCAACATCGTGTTGCCACTGCAGTGTGCAAGGTAGCAGCCAGGCCCCGCAAAAGCCATTACACCGCTACATAACAGCCGTGGTGTGATTTCGTACTTGCGGCCGAAGGATCTTTAGCGAGATGTTGGAGCCCCGGACTTCCTCCACCTGGCGATGGGGGGTTCGTCATGAAAGGACAGAGGCCGCTTCAACTTTGGAGTGCCAGTTGGTTCTGCAAGTTTCAGATCAGCATACCGGCTTCACCTCTGCATCCTTGTCAAGCTCGAACTCCTCCACTTCCTGCCACAAGGCACTCCCATACTCAATCATCCCGAGTCATCCCAAGTCATCCCAAGTTCACTGTTTACCTCTCTTAAACTGCAGGCTCCAGAAATGTTCTAGCATTGAAGCTGCAACTTTGGGGACCAACTCCTTTGCCCCAGCCCGGCCAAGTCCTGGATAATCTTCTCCTGGATTGTTTTGCCCGTGCCTGGGCGCCGCGTCTATAGTATGAAGCATGTCGTCCCCTGTGTACTGTGGACCCCCCCGACATTGTGATCCCCGGACCCGCAGCTTCGAGAAACACGGTTTTGTGAGTCTTCAGAAAGGGGACATTGCAGCGAGTCCAGGCACCCATAAACCGCTACAGCTGTAGTGCATCATAATAAAAGACAATGGGAAGGCAGCGATCAGGATTTAATCTGGGCGGCGAAGACCCCCAAAGCACTGGGTCGTTCACGGGCATACTCGGCGTGTCTGGCAATCTGCCGCTTGAACTCCTGGAAGGAGTCTCGGCACCTGGGAAGACATGGACGGCTTCACGCTTGAGCCAGGCTGACATCCAGTCTTATCAGCACCACCAGTTCTTGGAAACACTCGTCGAACATCGTCTCTGACACCTGATGGACATGCACAGCAAAAGTCCTTGGTTTGCTGTAGCTGCTTGTTGGCCATTGCGCGCATTCTACAGGCAAATCTCAAACCTTGTCACTGCGACCTCTTTTAGAAATCCAGAAAGCTGCCAGAGGAGCCGTGGGACGGAGTTTCCGCCTGAGCCCTGGACTCTATGGCCTTTTGCCGCTTTGCTTCAAGCTGATTCCTTGGCAAGAAGGCGGCCATTATCTCCAACTATCCCAAGCGAAGGTAGAAGTTTCAATCCTGCTCACCACACGCACAATGTGCCCGTCAGTTGTGATGCTCACATTGTACACATCTGAAGTTATACTTCCCTCAGCACTTTGCTTCGCTTCCAAATTGCGAAGAGGGCTTGGGCACGCTGAGCATCGTGCTTCAGCTCGTCGCTCATGCGGGCCTCTGCGTGCAACTGGGTAGGGTGCGTGATGTCGAGGGCATTTTGCTGAACTTTCTACTTGGGGCCTGTCATACGTGCACGTGATGTGCCCTTAGAGCTGGTGAGCGAAAACCTTCCGACCGTTCTAGCGGATGAAGGTAGCTCAGGATCCTGCCGCCATGACTTGCTGCAAACGCAGCTTCATGCGCTCCGAGTGCACGTTGTTCAGCATCTCAGGTGTTGCCACGGCTGGCAGATTGAGTATGCAGGTGTGGTTGGTATGATCCAGCAAACATTTGAAGGACTTGAACATCTGTTCGAGCTCAAGAAGGAGCAAGCTGTTCCAGGTTGATCACACGCTCTCTCACTGAGCATCGCAAGTGAGGACTGCTGAGCACCAGGCATTCTGATACTTGTGCTCAGTGACCTTGCCTTCCGACCTTACGTGCCATCTCCAACATCTGGACTCCAATCCACCACAAATCTGCAAGTGCAAGAGTCACGACATTTAGCAGCTTCTGCCCAGAAGTTTAGGGAGCAAATGATGCAATTCAATTGCTGACAAAAGCTGAGCAACAGCCAAGTCCTTAAGAAGTACAGTCTTCACTGGAGCTGCCAAACCCCACTAGCTGGGAGCATATTATTACCTCAGCTAATGAACAATGGCAAACGAAAACATCGTGCCTCCCGGTGGCCCGATCATCATTACTTATCTAGCATCACGCCCAGAATTCATGCCAGGATACCATGGTACCCAATATTACCCCAATAATGGAGAATCAAATGGAAAAGAACATGGAAAATGAAATGGAAACTGGGATTATAGGGTAGTTAATAGGGATTATTTGAGCATTACCAGGCTGAGGTTGGAGCTGCTTCTCGGAAGCGTCGTAGGACTTGTCTTGTGCTCGGCGATTGATCACGGCCCGCTGTAGCGCGCCCTTGGGCATACAGGGTTCCAAGGTTGACAGCTATTCAATTCATGGGTGTTCAACTCTGACATTTCTGCAGATTTGGGCTGTCTCGTTCTAAAAGGTATCAACATGCTGGCTATACTCCTCACGCCCACAAGAAACATGTAGGCAGTAACAGCTCAGTAGTCAGGACCACCCGCCCTCTAAGGCTTTTAATTTTGGCATCCAGCTGCTGTTTATGCCAACCTGCTTCAGGTTAGTTTCTTATGCGCGGCCATGACAAGCATCTTCTACGGCAGGTCTCGCTCAGGAAATGTACTATTGGCTTCGATGCTAAACAATGGGGTTTAGGGTTTAGGGTGCCTAATGCTTTTCAACTGTTTTAGCGGCTTCTGTGAAGCAGCAAAGTCACCATCAGGAGTGCTAACAAAACTCCGCGCTGGGCTGCAGGAACAGCAAGTAACAAGTGCGTTCGCACGACACACGGTGGAGGTGGGGCTAGTGCTGCAGTGCCAGCTCAACCTCACAGGTTCCACAGGTTCCTGGAAACCCAAAGCTTCCATGCATTGGAACCGTGCGTCTTATTCTGGCCTTCTTTAGTGAGCTGTCCTGAGCAAGAACACCATAAATCCGATTAGGATCTGCCATGCGGACATTGCGAAATCATAGGTCCCATTTTGCCTGCCTGCGAATCTTCTAGCAATGGGTAAACACATTCCTAGCTACCAATGGCCGGCAGTGCAATGATTTCATCCCTTTAAGATGCCTAGCAACGACGCAACACCTGCAATCCAAGCATGTTCACTTGATACCAGGGTCTCAGCATTTTTGCCCTTGAGGCGATCGTTCTGGTCCAGGAGTTGTGCAAACTTCTCCTGCCACAGAGTGGGGAGCCTCTTATGGCTTGAACGTGGCAAAAGGAAGGAGAGGAACAACGCATGAAGCACACCATACCAGCTGCTCATTACCTTGGAGTGAGCCATGGCAAAACCAGCATATCCTATCCCAAACTTGTATCAACATGCAGGATAGTAGTGGGCGGATGCATGAGTCTCAACAACGCATCTGTTGCTCTTCTTGCTTGTTGAAGGAACATGCCTCCTTGGAACTTTGCACAAGTCAGGCGGAGGAAGCTGACTTTCCAGATGCACTGTGCTCACTATACAGAATCCTCACAGTTTTCATGTATTTGTTGATGCTGCTTCAGATGACTCATACAAATACGAGCCGGATACTCAAGCCTCAACTTCTCAAACTGCATACGGTGGCGTGCCTGAAGCTCGACCATCGGATCAGGACCTTCCTGGCAAAGCTTAAAAACAGGATGACTCAAAAGCAAGCCGAGGACGACCCACTACAAATATGACCATTGCTACAATGATCATGGATATACTTTGAGAGCTGAGAAGCTGGTCCCACTTCATCGCGCAAATTCGCAAGGCACAGGCGCATTGGTCTTCCAGGCCATCACCACGACCATCAACCCCACCATCATCTCGATCATTCTTTATCTTCGCTCTTGATATGATGCGACTACCCTCACCATTTCTTTCTGAACCACCATCTGCCTCACAGTGACGCCACTGCTTACGACCTAAACGCCAGCCGTAATCCCTGGACGCTGACCGCCTGCGCGACAAGCAATGGTACGCTGCTCTTCTTTGACCGCCCGCTTCCACACTGAAACACTCTTTTTCAAAATAGCTACATATTCCTTACTGGGTCTCAGTCCTATGAGATCAAGACAGTCTTTTCAACTTTCACCCAGTAAGGTCTCCATGCTGTTCCCAAGCCCTCGGCCCTAATCGGGGCCTCCACGAGCTCGCCCTCCTCCTCCTCATCTTCATTCATCTGTCCTGGCTTTTGCTGCGAGGGAAGTAGTTTTATGTAGACATGAGAGACATGACCCAAGATTTGGCCACTGTTTGGTGGCAGCCTGTTTGAAACAATATTTTCTTGGTCCTTTGCCTCAAGAATTTCAAGGGATGGGATGCTAAATTGCAAGCCAGCCTTGAGTCCGGATATACACTTTGCGAACATGCTAGGGGCTCGCTATGCTACATGAATGTTTGCGGTCCCTGGTGCTTCCCAACCGCCTGCTCCTTGTCCTCTTCCTACTGCTCCTCTTGCTGTTACTGATATCTCTTCTTAATTGCCACGCTGCTACGACTTCAACCACAACCGTGCTGTGTCCCACCCCATCAGGTTGAGGCCCCCGCTCTGGAGTTCTGCTTCGCCCTCATCGTCTTCAGGGCCTGGCGGAACACGTAAAGAAAGGAGCAACAGGACATCGGACAGCCCGCCACCCACACTCGGCCCCCCAGTCACGATGACGTGACATGCTGAATCAGGATTGCATTCCTTAGTCTCTCTCCGCACCATACCCTCGTTTGGGCTGCATGCTGGACAAGAGAAGAGACGTTGCTGTTAGACCATTGGTTGAGTCGCGACAAGGGATACCTATGGTGAGCGTCAGGCGGCAACATCATCAAGCATGACAACGCCGACCAGGAGGAGGAGGAAGAGGAGGAGGAGGAGGAAGACCACCATGACTACGACAACCCGACGATGCTGACGTGATGGTGTCGTCACTTTGCATGTACCCAAGCGCATCAACAGGTAAGCTGCACCCTCCCTCTCCTGGCATGTCTGCCCTGAGTAGAAAGTAGGTTTTGCATCTGCAGGATAAATGAGTCAAAGAGATATGTGGAATAGCAGAAGCGCACGTTTTTCGGTGCGGCTGGCTAGGCTCGCATCCTTTCATGGCAGGGAATAAATGTAAAAGACGCCTGCCTGCTGGAAAGGCACCCTCTCGGGCGTAAACACGGCCAGCAGCGACACAAGAACATGCAAGGGCGGAGGCGGAGGGTACATAGTCTTGATACGTGGGGTACTGCCTTCACTGAGAAAATGTCGTACAGGAACTATGCTGCCTGTTGGGACAGGCTTTCTGATGGCTGCCCATTGTGCCAAGCACTAAGCGTGGGCAGCAGCAGAAAAAAACCGTTCAATGGCAACGGCCAGGCCATTGCCGATCCTCAGCGCTTCTACTTTGGAGAAACGCTCGGCCGCAGATCTTCATGCTTTCTACAGAGTGTCACAGTATTTATAAAAAAGAGCGTCTCCTTTTCAGCGAGGTTGCTGCAACACTCCTCACAAGATGACTTGCCAAAGCCATTGCCCTGCGCTGGCTCAGATGGCGTTCTAAGCCTTGCATACCGCGCGCTAAGTGGCAGGGGGACATGCCAAGGTAAGTGAGTTGGTGATTGCCACGCTGCAGAATGTGTCCGAGCTGACTTCAGAGTGGCTATGCTTCTACTGGCTGTAATGTGCCCCTTCAAGCGCCTACACCTAATCCGTTCGCAATTCACGCGATGCTCACATCTTCGGCGACGACTCGCTTGTTTGAAGAATGCAGAGAGAGGAACAACACCAGACCATGAGCCTACAGAAGATGCTGCCTCAAAGAAGAGGCATCACTACCAAAGAGGAACTCAAGCCAAAGAAGGTTCTGCATATTGCATGCTGCCCATGTAGAAGCTCCACGAAAAATCTCACGATCAGTGTGGGCCAGGAGGCATACGCTCGCGCCCGTTGGTCAGCCCACAGCATCTGCAGTGCTGCATGGGGAGTTCTACTGCCACCGTGGGTGATCTTGTGCGCGAGCCATTCACAAAACATAGTCTCATCTTGATCGTCTTTTTTAGCTGCTGTGAGTCATGGCTCTTTATCATTAAGGTTCGTGGGAGGCTTCAGGAAGCCCCTCGCCCGTTGGGCAAGCAAGTGGTTCATTGTCTGAGGGATCTAGCGTGTTGCGGCTACTATTATTAGATTTTACGGCTTCTACTGATGATGCGTGACCTTTTTTGTGCTAAGCAAGTGCCTGCTAGTTGGCAGCAGCAAAGATAAATTGCAAGGCTGAGTAGCGACAACACGAACGAGTCGGCATCATTGGGTGGAAGTTCCCCTACGTAGTCCAAAACGCCTGCAGCTGAAAAAGAATCCCCCGAAGCCCTTGTCACAATATTCTTTGGCTCTGGATCCTGGTTCTGGGCACTCCCTGTGACTTACTGTGGCTTAAGGGGAGTGGGGGAGTGAATATAGGTGCCATTACAGGGGTATGTATGGGGAAGATTTAGGGACCCACTCGCCCTTAAGCGGCAATAAGGTGAACTCTAGACTGTCGTTTCCAAACACCTGTTCATCCACAATCGTCATCCACTGTACCATTTGTACGAAGCAGGCCTCCTTTTTGCAAATTGAAACTACTTAGGACACGTCTTTCAATCGGTCTCTACTTAAGGAACCCATTATTTGTGCAACAGATTGTGGGGTGTGGTATGACATTTGTTGTAAGGGAGCCCCAAAGCAAGTCCAAATACGCATTGTGCCCAGGAAGTTCAGCCAAGGTCTGTGCGGCCAATCATACCAAGCCCTGCAGATGTTCGAATAACAACCTCAGATGCCATCAGCACAGTGCAATGAACCTCCGCTGACTGCTTAATGACAGACGCTGACCCCGAGGACAGCTGAGGCGTGGTAGGCGCTGCGTGCAGAACCTATGAGAACGGTAGGAAACGTCATGGCTGTACAGTGAAGGTGTGGCTTGCGGGGCTGCACATTACTTCCCGGAAGCAGAAGCAAACTATCCTGGTGCGCCGCGCTACCATCCAGGCTTTTCTTTCTACATCTTGAGGCACCGCCAGGACCAGCTGCCTGAAGCTGTCAAGGGATGCTTTTTGTAGACGTGCCATGTTCAAACGCCATCTGTTCTTCCAGCCCTCCGAAACATGTCAGACATCGTGGTCCACTATGCTAAGGAAGAAGGAATTGACGCGCAGCACAGCCCAATTTTGTAGTCGAGGAACGGCGGAGGTATGAGGGCATTCCAAGGGATGAGAGGCCATGGTGGCTTTCTCGTGTTAACACAAGACAAGGCTCACCAATGAAACTTCCACCTGCATTCTACAGACCACAGCTTTGTATTGTTCCCAGCAGGTGGACCATTGCCCTCCAACTACCCTTTTACAAGTCATCCTGGCTTAGCTGTGATTGAACGGTGACACTTGTCCCTGACGGTACCAGTTTTGCTTACAGTAGCCTACGAAACCCAAGTTTTTGCCTACGGCCTCCTTTCACGGAATTTGGATCTCAGGTCACCTGGTCAACCACAAACTCAGTAAGTCCAAGGCTGGTCCTTGCCATCAGCAGACTTCCAGTGCAACTTCATCCTTTTTTTGAGACAGGAGTTTGGAATTGGGCGGAAGGATCCCCATACGACAAGCAGAACTTCCATCCCAACCGCAAAACAATGCATAAGGATCCCACTTTGTGAGGAACATCATGAGAGGATATAAGCAGGATGCAGCTGTTGAGGCTTGCCAACTGTGCTGCCCCCACTGAGGCGGCCAAATGTGGCTGAGTGAGCAGTTGCATTGGCGACGCCCACCGTTCATCATTGTAAACATGCGGGACCTTCTTGTCAAAATTACACAGCTGCTTGGAGGAAATGTGCCTGAAAGCAGAATTCCACGTATCCACATCTGCGTAGGCTTGAGCTTTAAAATCTTGAGAATGGGACAGCGCTCATGAACGATGCTTGCCTGAGGATGGCGTTTAGATTCAAGCAATGAGATGCCAGCAGATTCTGGCAAGGTCCTCAAGCAGCGCTTCACGAGGCAATTGCCTTGTCCTGTTCGCTCTGAAGTAACAGATAATGAAAAACCCTCGCACTGGGCACCACGAACCAAATCGACGACGTCTTGCCTGCCAAGGTAAGCTCAGCAATTGCTGCCTGGTCTCGGGTAGAGCTTTTCCGGCAGCTTCTTCACGCCAGCGCCCTGAGCAACAGAACGATGAAGCTACGTGCCCAAACCCTGCAAGCAACATCCTGTGAAAGGTCCATGTTCTTGGTTGAGCTTCCTGTTCCTTGGCCCTGTGACTCCCAAAATTATGAGCTTCGGTAGGATATGGCATGTTATGACCAACCAGTTGAGCCCACTTTTCTGGTGCTGCATGTTTGGGACTTAGTCCGGCATCATGCACTGACATCCTCGGTGGTGAAGTTGGTGAGATTCTGGTAAAGCTCTTCGCGATGTTGGAGAACGGTACAGACGGTGTCGGTCAAATTTTGAGTTCTCTCCTCATCCTCCGTGAGCCATGGCGAGTTGGGAAGGAATAGGTTGGCCTCCCGAAAAAACTGCAATAACCTGAGCCCAAACTTGTGGCAGTTCCTCTTTAACAGGTCCATGCCGATCCGCAAGATGGGCACTTGCATCTTGGTTAGCGTCTCGAGGTGGTCCTCTATGAGTCGATCATAGGCCGCCTTGACTGTTCATTCCCCATAATACTGTCTTGTTAGAGGCAGTTGTCTCATAAAAGCGGCAGCTTATCAACAACAGGCAAGGTACTTGCTGCTCTTCGCAGTTGTCCAGACTTCCAGAGCACAGACTCGGCCACCGCTTGAAGACAGAGCGGGCGCAATCTCCGAGATCACGCTCGTACCTTCATGGGCTTCCTACTACCCCTTCACCAGCACTTCCAAGGGGGGATAACTGGGCAAAGGGCCCTAAACTTGGCCCTAAACATTGACAGGCTCTCGTTGTTGTTGGGGGACCCGCCGTACCTGACCACAGCCTTCTGGTTCACCCCCGCGCCAGCCAACATCTGGTACAGCCCGCGCAGGTCGTACTCTCTTGAGTCCTGGGCCACGAGAAGGAGACTCTTCGAAATTTCTGAAAAATTGCCCTACAGCCAGCATCATACTAAAGTGAGTTCTATCAACTTTGGCCAAGGGTCCGTTGTTCGGTGCTGGAACTTTGTTGGGAAGCTGTAAGCTTGCTGGATCAGGTCTCCAGGCGAGTGCTGGCGCAATGCAGAAGCAAACGCCTCTTTGTCGTTTGTCATAAAGGCGTCGAACTCGGCTTGGCCTCCTAAGAATGTAGCCCCGCTGATGTGGCGAGCTGGACCTATATCTTGCGTGTCCACCAGGCTAATGTTCATGATCTTTCGGAAGACCGGCGTCAACAGGTGATGTCCTGAACCCTCGGTCCCGATGAACGACAAGAAGCGAATGTTTGCGTCTTGCCGATGGGCGAACTGCAGATCCAGAGCATCTTGTTTCACTGCGCTGTAAAAGATTGCCACTGATGGCATGGCCAGCTGGAAAAGCAGGGTGCAGCAGCCCCTGCTGCCATGCTGCATCGCCCTCTATCGGCCCTGGCACTCTATGTTCGCTACCAGATATGCAGCCCCTCGGCTGCTGGAGCCATAGGGCGGGCGGTTCAGCGTCACAAGTTGTCTGACATCAGGCAGTTAGTTCAACTGTGAGCGGTATTGATGTCGACAATTAAGCAAAGGATTTGTAGACACGCACACACACATAACAGAGAGAGAGAGAGAGAGAGAGAGCGAGCCATTTCGCAAATGCTCACCTACAGGAAAGTACCCGCATTCCAGATCTAGCTTCAGATAGGCTCAATTCGGAGGGGGGGGGGGGGGGNNCAGAATCTGAGCAGTCTGAGCATCAGCCTCACTTATCATGCAGCCACGGCGCCTGCCCTCCGAAGAAAGCGATTTCGTACTGCTTGAGGCTGTTCATTGTACCTGTGATGGACGAAATTCCTATATGCCATGGATCTATCTGTGGAGCTGCTGCAATTGCTGCGTGGGTGCTGTACTGCAAGTCGTCGGCGACCTGGGTTGATCTTCTGTGGGCCGTCCGTGCTTGAAGCTCGCATGCGGAAAGCTTGATTATGCCGATCACGGCTACGAATACTACCAAATATCTGGACATGTTAGGATGGTCTGCGCCGAGGAGCCCGTTCCAGAACCACCTCAGGTAGTACCTGCAGGGATCAGAGTCAAGGTTCCGTGACAAATAGGCCGAATCGAATGCACGTGCTGATTCGAACGAGCGCTTGGATGATTTCGCTAGAGGTTCCTGTCTGGGGCAGCCTAACCGCTCAGCAGGGGCTGGCTGAAATCTTTTGAAAGTTCCCAGCCCATCCTCGATTTTTGACAGCATCGCCACGCACTTTCCACCTCCACAACAACCGCAGGGTGCCGGTCACATAAAGCAACGATAGGCCTACCGCAATGCAACAGAAACCAACGTCCTGACATGCGGCCCAAGGATTTCATGAACAGAAGCCTTACTTCGGAATGATGTTCGTGCAGTCATCGAGTCATGGATATTCACACATCAAATTCCCGCGTGCCTTTGGTGCTTCTGCCGCGGAGAACTGCCCTTGGAAAGAACTGGAGCTATGCTGCCAATCTAGAGCTGATGTGAGTCAATGCACTTGAGCAACGTTCAACCACAGAATGTTTGAGCTCTAGCCTATGGGCTGGCACTAAGCTTGCGCGCAAATTCTTGAAAAAGGCTGAGCGGCGCCGGTACCACTAGCCCATCTTCTTTTTCCGACAGATACCTTGGCTGGGATGCAGAGAAAGTTGCAATATCTTTTGGTTCTGAATGCCTTTCTTCTGTTGTTTTAAGGGCAAGGAGGCAGGCAACATGGGGAAGGTCCACCCGAGTACATGTTCAAGGGCCAATGGCCATCCCCTGGCGGGCACACCCTGCCTGACCAATTGCAATCGAAGTTTACATTGGTAGCTTCCACAATATTTACTCCAAAATACCAAAGAATCCTTCTGATAGGAACCTCCTCGTCTTGGGAAATTGCCAAGTACTTGAAACGTCAGAAATCTCGTATGCCAAGGTCGCAGCAGCATTGTCATCCCACCTCAGCGTGATTACATAGGAGCTATACAAGAAGAATGGAAAAGAACATGGAAACGACTACATTTGCCATAGCAGGGTATAATATACTGGAGCTCTCACAGTGAGGGTAGTAGTAATAACAATAATGATATGAACAACAACAACCATGACAATATTATAGTTATCTTCTATTAATAAAATGTCCTGGCAAGGCCTGCTCTCGATTGCATCGTGCCAGCGTAGATCCCAAACAGTGGTTTCCCGCAACTGCACGTAAGATGAATTCACAAGCTCTGGATGCTCCTAAGGCTGCGCGTGCACGCGCCTGTAGAGAGCTCTGTTTCGAGCCGAAATGTGATCATGCTCTATACAAGCGCCGCATAACTGTCCTCGTGCTGCGCCGCGCTGTCGTGACAAGCTATTCCCTTTGTTTTTGCTGCAATGAAGAGGGCACACACCCATGGACATGGTCGTGTTGGCATGCAGAACCATTTTCGTGTGACTTGCTCTGTCCATGCGGAATATGTTTGAATTTAGCTGCAGGTTCGACACTGGCCATTGTTCTGTGCCTGTGCTTTGCTGAACGGTGTTCTGAAGGCCGTCAACGCCAGGTCAGAATTAAAAACCGGCTACAACACCACTTTGTCCACACATTATGAATGTATACCCCACCATTCTACAACCTTATATATACCCTATAATACTATAGTAGTTTCCATTTTCTTTTCCATCATCCCTATTTCGCCCCTGTATTACCCGAAGCACAGCCCGGGCACTGTCCGCATCTTCAATGAGAAACAGTCGCCGGCGCCAGCTCCTTAGATATGAAGGAGGGCTTCTCAAAACAAGGGGCCCGTAGGGATCCCCGACTTGATTTACATGTGGAGATTACAAAGGAGATGATGGAGGCCTTTAGGAGCAAGAAGGGCTTTTGTTTATAAGCACCCAACTCTGAGTAAACTTCGCAGCAGGCCCAAAGTATTTCGAGTCAGCTCTTTTGGAAGTGTTGCATGTCTGGCAAGTGGAAACCACATGTAGTCTTCTTCATCTGAACACCCTGGCTGCAATCAAGCCTCGACAATTTTCTGAAGTGCTGCATGGTCGGCGGCACATTGTTGTTGAGTTTCCACAGGTGACCTCTGCAAGCCTACGTGGATGCCCAAAGACTGTTCGGAAAGCACGCAAGCCACCACGCTGTGACAAGAATATTGATGCGTTAAGGCATACACTGTAAATCGATCTGCGAGCTGAACATCTCTCTGAGTTCACAAAGCTCTTCCACAGATTCTAGGTTTATTGAAGGTGTGGTATTTGCAAATGATGAGCTTCATCAACTTCGTCTTTGGCTTCCTGATCTGTGTCACCTCCCAAACAAAAGCTGCGGCTGAGGGCAGGGCCGGTGAGCTTGCCTTAGAGCCCACAAGCAGCCAGATCGGCACAGAATGTCACTGCCAGAGCAATAACGACGAAATTGTCATCATCATAACCACTTTGGTGCTACAATTTTTGTAATAACAAGAACAACAACAGCAATCATAGAGCTGGCTCCTGTAGATTAGTAGCAGGCATTCTGAATAGATCGACAAACTGTAGGAAACAAAGAGGCGTGAGCGTGTCTGGCCTTTCCGATGGCATGAGAGGTGACAAGCTGCAAAAATGGCGTGTGTGGGCTCACACTGGGCTTAGCAGAATCATACAACCTGGCAGGTGTTGGAAGCCTTTTTTTTACCAAGCGAAGTGATCTGTACTGCAAACATCAGAGAAAGGGTCTCCCCAGGGAAAGCCAAATCCGTATTTCTCAACATGTCTCAACCCTTAGGCCCCTCCATATGCCCAGATGTACTGTGGTCCTGATTTCTTCTTAAAAAGGAACCTCAGACGTGTAGTTTTGAGAACTCCCCCCTGACTCATGATGGCACGAAATCCTGGCGTGCGATCCAACATATGGTCAACATTATTTATTACTGCCTGGTAAGAGGTGCTGCTGTGCTTCTTCCTCATATTTTGCCATTTTGTTGTGTCCAAAGTCTGTTCTTCTCGGAATTTCTATTACTTTTGGGGTTGATATTGTAAAGCTGCATGCTGCAGCAAAGCCACCTCGTATCCTGACCGGCTTATCGCCAGGGACGAAGGTGTCTGTCATTCTTATTCGGGGCGGCGGTTCGAGGCAAAAGTTGCTCAGCTTGGCAAGACCTGCAAGGTGCAGTCAAAGAGGCATCCTACTGCTCATCTTCTTGGGTCCTCTGCAGGAGCATCCCTAAAAATGTTGCGCGAGCCTGGCCGTTAGCAGCTAGGACCACTACAAAGTAGACTTCAGAAACTGCAGTCCAAGCCAAGATGACTGACATTTGCTTTGAAACAGGAGGGTAGCCCTTGAGCACATCAACCCTTTCAGGGAGATCCCTATCTAACCATCTGACCCATGCATCCTCACATGATAGACGAAATGCCTCGCAGGCACCAGCATGCCCATTGTCTCGTCCTTCCTCAAGTTGGAGCAGTTCTGTACCCCTCAACATGATTTGGAACGTCTCCTCGGGATCTGGAATTCATGATGCCAGTGGATGAAGGAGAGCAGGGTGGGCGCATCTGCAGCTACAAGTACAATGAGGACTCGAGAAGTATCATTTGAGGCTTGGGAAGCCCCTACAAAGGCAAAAGCTGACTTTGTATGTGTCCAAAATTCTGTCAAACCCTCCTTGCACATAATGCTAAGCAAGCAGCTGGGGCCAAGAGCGTCATCAACATCCTTCCTCATCGAGAAGACCTGTTGGCTCGCAAGAGTTCGGGTGTAGAAGAATGAGGGCACATTAGGCCATGAAACAGAGTGCTGACATGACCCTGCAAAGAGGATACCCATCAGTGTCAGACTCAAAGCACGCCGCAAGCAGAAGACAGTGAGCCTACCTTCGTATGGCCAAGTAGCTGGAAAGAAGGCGAGCCATTCGCAAACAGTCAAGGTCACACAAAGAAGAAGCAGCAAAGAATCCTCAAGAACCGTGGTCGGTCTAGAAAAACATAGGTAGCCAAAAATGGACTCTATAACCCTTATGCCATAACTGGGATGAGCAAACCCAAGTATACTATCAAAATATCATGGGCACCTGATGTCCGTCCGTGTCCAGGCTGATGTCAGAACCACTCCCACGCAGGTCCTCGCATGGCTTGATCCAGGGCGTCCTATACCCTATTATACTATAAATATAACCCCAATATAACCCCAAAATACTATAGTAGTTTCCATTTTCTTTTCCATTATCCCTATATAATCCCTATATAATTTTCTGTGATCCCTCCCATCTGCAAGCCAAAAGTGTAGGCTTACTCTGAGATTACCCGAGTCCTGTCTTAACAGTTCCGTTCTTGCATCAAACTCAAGCCCGAGGCAACTCCCTCGGATGTCATACCCTACCCTGAAGTAACATGGAGACCCATGTAACCCCTTTTCGAGGACAGTCGTCTTCATATACTGCCCTTTTTGAGGTTCTAGGTTTTTTTGGGGGAAGGGTAACATCCTGGCGGTCCTCCCATGTCACATGGCGCTCCTTTGGCTCACTCCGTTGTGTGTCTGGGGCCATCTCGCTGACAACCCACTTTGGGATTCACACTAGAAAACGAAACCTTTGGGATGTGTAGGACCCCAGAGAGGGATCCAGAACTTTAAGAACACCCGCTCAGAACAGCAAAGATGGCACTCTTTCTTGTGGGTTCCAATATTAACAAGCCTGAAAACTTCCACAACACTGAGGCAAAAGCCTCAAGCTTTCAAGGGGCCATAACTGGTGTCTTCTACGTAAATCATGACCCCTGCAAGGTTTGCAGTATATGCTTGGCACCCCTCATGCTTTAATTGAGGAATTATACCTTGCGTGGTGTTGCGATCCCTGGCATCAAGCAAACCATGCTCTGTTGTTCGAGCAGGTATTGGCCTCTCTAGCTTGCCTTGAGGACTGGTTCCCAACTTGTGGTCGAAAACCGCTCACCGCTCTTTTCTGAGCCGAACGGCTGCAGTTGCAATTTGTGACGTGAGCATTTCTTGAGACCCTGGCATATCCTTACACCTGAAAAGCTTTCCAACAATGAGAGCTCTTGAAAGGGCTACTTCCATGGACGCGCTTTGTGAAAGCAACATCGGACGGTCTCGCTGAGCCACACAGCCTTCAAATGCACAAAGGTTTGCAACAGAAAAACATAGAACTCCCCGCTAGACCGCTAGACCTGCTCTTAAACAAGAGGCCACAAAGCTTCACCATCCACTCTCCACAACCCTAAACACCCCGCACACCCCAATAGCAAACTGTAATTCTGCAGCATGACTCTGAGAATCTCCCACAATGACAGCGGCCTGCATATTCGGGGGGCTCCTCCTCTTCCTCCTCCACGTCACAAGGGGCTTCCAACAAATTAGGGATCCCATTCTGCGGACCCCACCTAACATTTATTTCCATAATGAGGGGAAACTCGGCTCGCTGGCTTGACTGGTTTGCCGTAGGGGCTTGATGATGACGATGTCTTCATGTGGAGACCTGTCCATAAAGCTGCTGGCCCAGGAAGATTTGATGATGCAGGCCCCTGATTTCTTTGCCCCCAGAATTACAAAGATAACAATAAGCATTTTGCCAACTGGATGCTTCTAGGACAAGCGTTGTCTTCTTGAGTTTCCCCTGACAATGGAAGGGCGCTGAGGCGATGCTGATGGAGGCTGGGTGCTTCAGATGTTGTTGCGTTGCCTGCAAAAAAAAGGTGGGCATTCCGGGCAAGGTGCGACCAAAGAATTTCAATTGCCCACCGCTACCATTGCAATTACAACGACTACAGTGTCTGCGACGACTCCAACCACAAGTACAAACCAGGACCATCACAACGGCAAGAAGAGGACGAGCAAAAGGTCGAGGAGGAGTGCCACCGCTGCTACCACTCCCTTCCGCCGCTGCCGGCAGCAGCAGCAGCAGCAGCAGCAGCAGCAGCAGCAGCAGCAGCGGCGCACCAGCACCACTATTAATAGTATTAATATAAATAATATTAATGATTATAATATAATTACTACTCATATTATTAATAATATTCATATACCTACCACGGTTTCCCTGTGCAGTCCTCACCGCCTTCGCCTCGCTCCTCAGGCTCTGCACCTGCTTCAGCGAACTTGATAGCGCTTTTTTCAAGTGGCCTGATGTTTGAGACTCTGGGGTTCCCAGCAACCTTGATGTGTTTGAATGCGTTTCCCTGTAACTTTGGGGGTCTAGTTGAAGGATTTAGGGGTCTGGGGCTTCTATTTGAGGCCCTAGGAATTTAACGGAAGGCTCTTCTTGGTCCTAACTCTGGACGTAGATGCGGTCTGGACCTTCAGAGCCGAGGCTCGCAGCCAAAGGATGTATTTTTTCGTGCAACTCTTTTTTTTGTGCCACTTGCTCTACCTATTGCCAACTCTTTAGACCCTTGTAGGACAAAAAAATCGGTATACCCGAGAAAAGGAGTGAATGGACTCCAAAAGCAAGGCGGAACCCCTGTGCACATTCAACGAGGCCTTGCGCCGCAACTGCAACACACCCTACCTTTGGCTAGCTAGGAATGACGGAATGGATCCTTATAGTAGTCCCTATATAACCCATTATAGTAGTTTCCATTCTCTTTTCAATTCCTCCTATATAACCCAATATATACCCCCTATAAGCCCTACATAACCCCTACAAAGTCCCTGTAGTTTCCATTTTTGTTTCCATCAAGTTCTTTCCCAGCTAAGCAAGTGTAAGACACAGGGAAGCTGAGGTCATCTCCCGCACTGGGACTTGCATCTCCCTCGGCCTGGGCATGAACTGGCCAGACTACTGTACTATAGTATATCATAGTAGATTATATAGTCTAATATAAAATATTATAGTACATTAATGTACATTATAGTCTACTATGGTATACGATAATTATATAGGTCTGCTGGGAGTTTGGGAGGGTCTGCCCCTATCAGTGCTGACTTATGCTGGACTATGCTAGAGTCCAAAGCGTCTGGATGGTTAGGCGGACCTTACGTTTGCAAAAAACATCCGCATGTATCAGGACATTGTGCTCAAGAGCCCGCCCTAGCACATCCCTTCAAGCGGACTTCCTTTTCAGTCGCTTAGCGGATGGGTCTCCCGGTCGAGCGCTCTCAGCAGGGCGCATTGGAGCTTGTTGCCTTCAGAAAAAGCATTCAACACCTTGCGGTCCCTCGTGTCAAGGACATCTTGGGGAACCGGTTTGACAATGATGTCGGGCCATAATCATCGCCAGTCACAATGATAAACTTAGATGGCTACACAACTCCCCGTATTCAAGCAGCCCCAATGCCAATATGCAGGCCTGCACTGGCGTCACTGTCGCAAAACACCCAGAATGAGTGAACTGCAGGTTCCAACATCTCAAGGCTTTCTGATGCTTTCGCGCTGGTTGGGGAGGGTGGGAAGCTTAATCCCAAGCTTCTGGGGAAGAGAAGCGTGCCAATGTATTGCAGCTGAGCGGCTGGTGCGAGTCTTTTCCTCACATGGGCTGTTGCCAATAGTCTTGTTCCTGGAACTGACCTTGATTCGTTTTTCCCTGCGTGCCGCCTCATGTGGTAAGTATCTTGCAGGACCATATCATGATGAAAGATTTGGCTCTGATTTTTTAAAAGTGTCAACTGTATCTAGT